AACTCTAAACCCCTCAGGCCCTGAACTCGCCAGCCCTACACTGTTGAAGGTTCAGGATCTAAGGTTGCAGGCTTAAGCTTTAGTTTCGGGAGCTTTAGGCTTGCATTGTTTGGGGTCTGGGGTTTAGGGTTTAACGTTTAGAGTTTAGAGTTTAGGGTTTAGGGTTTAGGGTATAAGTAGAAGGAGAACCCTAGGTGTGGTTACCCTAGTCTCTCTTTCGAGCTGTCACTACCATGACCCCTTGAGTAGGCTTAGGGCGATGTGACTTCAAGTTTTGCTAAACTCTCAAGTCGCAACCCAAGCTTTCTGTGGTGTACGTGTGCCAAGTTGACTTCCTTCCAAGCCCTCTGATTCAAACTCTCCTCCACAGGGTTACTCGATGGACACCATCCTGAGGCATGTTACCCTTATCCTTAAACCCTGAACACTAGGTATGTTAACGTATGGGAATCATTAGTTTAGAGGATTTAGGGCTGCGGCTTCCCATCCATGCGGTTCTAATGAGGACTTTGCAGGATCCTTCCCATTCTACCGCAGCAAAGCCGGGAAACAACGAGAGGTCCCCAGTTTGGGGAAATTGGGTCTAGGACTGGGTCCAGGTACGAACTCTTCTCACCGAGGCGCTTCCACGCTTGGCCTTGCCTTTAAACCGAGGCTAGGGTTTAGGGTTTAGGGTTTAGGGTTTAGGGTTGTGGTTGATGGCCCAGCGTCTCGGCATTGCTTAACAGGTTGTTGCTCGCGGCGTTCTTCCTGTGTCCTTTGTTGCGTTGACTGTTCTTCTCCGGGCTTTCGTGTTGTTCAGGTCTTCGAGTCGTGGGAACTCCCCCTCTTCGTGACTTGGCATCTGCGCTGGTTCTGCTTGTTCGTGCTCTTTTTTCCACTCGTCTGTGTGTATATGGTTGGTTGATCTCAGGAAGGCGTGGATGAGGAGTGGGTCGACGTCCCCGGCGGCGACGTGGCGCCGGTGACGCCACCACTCGTCGTATCTTGGCATGCGCTTTTGCGTGTTTGCCCTTCTGTGTTTTTCTGTTATGTTGACCCTCTTCTTATTTCTTTTTGTCTGTCTGTCCTTTCTTTTTTGCTCCCTTTCTCCGTCTCTCCGTTTTTCGTTTTTCTGGACGTCGAGGTCGGGGGCGCGGTCGCGGAACAACCAGATGGGCTATGCGCAGGCAGGCGTTCCATCGTGAAGGGCTGAAGGGTCTGCCATGATATGCCGTGATGACTTGTCAGGGACAACATTGGCAGCAATCCCAGCAAGCCTGGACCCAGGCTCCGTTTGCGACATGCATCAAGTCTTGATGCAATCAACAGCCGTCGAGACCTGTCAAACAGGCAGGCGCCGGTTTGGGGTTGTCGTGTTGGGCTGAAGTCTACCGTGTTGCTGTCTTTTCTTTCGAGGCCACCCAATTGGATGGCCTCGTTGCGGCTTCTTGGATTCACTGTGCAGGTTTCTGCTTGTTTTTGTGGCTGTGGCTGATTCTTTGGTTCATGCCCAGCTCGAGGTCTTCGCGCCCGAGCCTGCACCTCCCGTCGTGGTGGGCTTAGTTTTGGGGTTGCTCGTTGGTCTTGCGGTTTGGGCTTCGTGGCTGTTTTTGCGTGAGGAGCTCGCATCCGGGTCGTCGGACATCCCAGCTCCTTGGTTCTTGTGCTGTGTGGTTTCGTTTGCTTGTGTTTTTGTTTGTGCATGCGTGTCAGTGCATCTGAGGTGATGATCCCGGCCATGGATGACGACGACGCGGAGCGGGCCTTTTGGATGGAGTTGTTCCAGGAGGTCGGAGGCGAGTCTGGTTCAATTCGGACGGGTGAGAGAGGGTTCGGGCAGGGTTTGGGAGGGACGTGTTTCGGATTTGTCGGGTTCTTCCCTGGCAGGAGCCTCCTCGGAAGAAGGTACGCGCCAGCAGCTAGCACATACAACACGGAGAAAATGCCGCGTGACATGTGCTGGCGCTGCCTTTTGCAGCGCCAGAGGGTCTCCTTGGCTTACGTTTGGGTTGGGATTCTGTGGATTGAGTTTGGTGTTGATGGTTGTGTTGTTGGTTTGGGCGTTGGGGGGTTCCTGGGCTTACGTTTGGGTTGGGTTTCTGTGGCTTGGGTTTGGCGTTGATAGCTGGGTTCTTGGTTTGGGCGTTGAGGGTTTCCGGAGAGTGCCGTGCCCCCCTGTGGAGGTCAGCCGATCCGGCGCGACCGTGCATTGCACCGGTCCCTCGTGTGAGGGTTTTCCAGCAGCTTCGCAATGCCCAGAGGGCTGCGCCTAAGGCGAGCCCGAAGGGCAAGGCCTTGGCGAAAGCTATAATGCCCATTTTTACATGTCTCTTCGTAAGTAGTTGGTCTTCTGTGTATTGTGTGTTTATCTAACCATGTAGAATGCAAAGAAGTGATCGGGATCCTTCTAGCTATATGTAGTTCTAGGCATCAGGTACATCTTTGTATCGACGAATATGTTAAGTGCTTATCTTCTTGGCCCTTTTGCAAGTTTGGCCGTTTGCCGCTTGCCTTTGCATGCCTTGTTGCACTTTCCTTTCTTAAAAAAACCTTGGTTTCCCAGTCCAATTACTGTGTAAGTACTTTGAGAACGGTAGGGAGTCGTAATAATAGGAATATAAAAACTAATGATACGATATTAGCATTGCTGCTTTTGCTGCACAAATTGTCGCAATACTGTCTAGTAATTGCGTTGTGGTATTGGACTGGGAAACCGTAGGGCCCGGCTGCGTTATTTCTGGAGCTGTCAATTTCCCTTTCCCGGGTTTATTCATTCTTTGGGGTTATTTGTGGGTTTTGTCAAGTTGAATTTGGGTGTGGCATCAAGCCTTGTTTGGGGGGGGAAATTGCAGTTCCACAAACGTGGTAACTTGCGGCTCGGTGTGTCGGAGCGAAGTTTTGCTTCCAGATGCCGAGACACACCGACCCGCATGGGTTCTTTCGATGGACAGCTGGTGGTTAGGTCTTTACGTGTCGGTGTATTGGGATGTAGTTTTTTTTTCTTAGGTGGGCGGCAGTTGTGGTATTGGAGTGGCTGTAGGCTAGTGGTTTGGTAGCTGTCCATCGGCGTTGTGTCACGGGCCGTGGGTTCCCTTCCCTGGGTTTGGTTTTGGGTTTATATGCTAGGTGTTTTCAGAAGGCAAGCGGGTAGGCATATCGATGCATTCGTGAATAGCTGGATTTGTTGCACGAAGATCTTGTTCTTGGTGGCTTTTGTTAGAGTTTTCCTGGTGAACGTTTGCTAGTTTTGTGCCTTTGGGAAGGGGCCCTGCGGGATGCGCTCCGTTAGTGCGTGGCCCAGTTTCACTTTCGTACTGGAATTCGTTTTTAGCTTTTTCTGGAATTCGTTCTGTTTCTTTTGGTTGCCGAGCGCCTAACACCAGCATCGGTGGCTCGGGGGCTGGGGCCGGCATGCATGTTTTTTCTTTTTCGTTTGGCGTCTGCAGCTTTCCTCGAAAAGTCTGACTGGCGGGGTTGTCTGGGGTTGTTCTTGCGGCTTCTTGCGGGGATGTTCGGTTTGTCTTTTGAACTTCGCTAGCATTCGTCTTGATTCACTCTTCCCCCGTCCTTCCTTGCTGCTTCTTGTGTCCTTGTCGCACCCAAGCCTGCTTTCCTCGACTTCGACTGCGACTTCGTGTAGGGTTAGGGTTTAGGGTTTAGGTGTTTAGGGTTTAGGGGTTTAGGGTTTAGGGTTTTGGGGTTTAGGGTTTAGGGGTTTAGGGCCCGGCGCAGTCAGGAAAGCGCAGCGGTTAGGGATTGCTAAAACCAAGGGCTTTGGAGGAGGATTCAGACCTGGCCCGGCTCCACAGACGCAGGTTCGACGTTGCCAAAGCTCGAGCCTGGCTGGAGATCCATCGATTAGCCGTAAATGCGTAAGGGTATCGCAGCAAAGTTCAGACACTGCTCGTGGACGATTCCAGAATCAAACGTCGTAGAGATTCAGGGGCTTAGAGAGGGTTCAGGGCCGAGATTTCGTGCAGGAGGTGCCTCTGGTAGTGGCATGGGATTCAAGTCCTCAGCTTTCGTTCTTCGATTCGGAGCCTAAATCTGAAACCCTAAACCTGACTGAGACTTTGAACCCTAAACTTAACCCTAATACCAAAACGTTAAACCCTGAATCCTACTCCCCGAACCTGAAACGTTAAGCCTTAAACCTTAACCCTGAAACCCTCCACCTTTCGAGCTGGCTAGGAGGGTATAGGAGTTCCGGCATAGCGTTTTGGGGTATAGGGTGTCGGGGTTTAGGGTTAGGGGTTTGGGCGGTTAAGGGTTTCAGGTTTTTGGGTTCAGGGTTGTCCGTCCTCAAAAAGACAGTCTGCTAGAAGACGGGCGGCCTTTGTCATGTCGGGGTCGGAACACAGCATGGTGTTTAATCAGTTTAGTGTGATAGAGAGGGCTCTGTGGGAATATTAAAGTATCCCTCTATGATCCCTGTACAATACCCTGTTCGATCAAACGAGTGTTTTTGTTCCGATGCTTTCTGGCTCAAGCCCCTGGGATGGCAGATGAAAACATATTTGAGCTTCTCGGTAAATCTGATCTATAGGTTGCGCGCGGCATTGCTTTCGCCATCCACAACCACAGCCAGGGCACGCGCAGCACACCAGTAATTATCAAGACGAGCCGCATGCAAGGTCGTTTATGGGATTTTCCTGCATCGGATGACACCTAAACCTACAATGTCCGTGTTGGTCGGGTCCAGGGACGGATTTAGGGTCAAAAAGGCTCAGAGTTACACTGACCCTCGGCTACCATAACCTACATTGTATAGGTTCACCGTTTTCACTCAGTTCCATGGGGGCCACCCGGAAACTACGTAGGTTGCGGTCCTCTAAAGTAGGGGTTGCGGGATTCCTTCAAGTGTTTCGGGTTTTAGGGTTTATAGAGTTTTAGGGTTTAGAGTTTAGGGTTTAGGGTTTAGGGTTTTGGGCTTTAGGGTTTAGGGTTTTAGGCTTTACGGTTTAGGGTTTTAGGGTTTAGGAGCTCTGTGACCCAGCACTTTCAGCACTTTCGAAGCCATGGAAGCCTTCGTCTGCAGCGGCTGTGGCTTCACCAGCTTTTCGAAGATGCTCTTTCAGGATGGAGCTTGGCGTTTAGGGGCTCGGGGTTCAGGGTTTAGGGATTTAGGGTATATGGGCTTGGGGTTTGGGGTTTATGGGGCTTGGGGTTTAGGGGGTAGGGGTTTAGGGGTTTAGGGCTTAGGGTTTAGGGGTTTAGGGTTTAGGGGTTTAGGGTTTTAGGGGTTTAGTGGCTCTCCGTGGAAGAAAAGTAATCTTTAACTTTTTCGGAGGGTATTACAACCCCTATTTAATGACTTTCTGTTGGTTTCTTGAATGATCAGTGCATTGAGTTTGCAGATTGTGGGTCCTGTGTTGTCCTTGGGCCAAGGGAGTGAGGGCTACAAATACCCCAAATACTGGGGTTATCCAAGTTCTAACCGCACGTAGTCTAACCCTACGGCTCCGGTTGCCTAAATAGAAGATTACTGGTGTACGTAATACATACACCAGTAACCTACGATTTACGTAACTGGAGCCCTCGTGTAACAGACTTACTCAGTCTATCAATCCTCTAGCCAAGTACTCCTTGAGTTTGGAGGCCATTCCCATCACAAGCGGCGGTTGCATAGCGACAGCATTAACCTGATACCGGAATGGTTGTACAAGGGCTAAGACGGGTTGGGTCCGCGCACTCTTGTCGTCAAACTTCAGGGGCTGCAGAAGCATGGGCATTCAAACAGCAACCACGCATCATGTGCTAAACCCTAAACCCTAAACCTTAAACGCCCTAAACGCCCTAAACCCTAAACCCTAAGCCCTAAGCCCGAAACCCTAAGCCCTAAGCAGGGGGTTTGACGGACCGAGGCCCTTCCAGTTTTTTTAGCCGAAAAAGGGTGGAGGAAAAAACCTTAAGCCCTCAATCCTAAGAACTTTCTTAGTCAACAGTCTAGGGTTTCGGGTTTAGGGTTTTTGGGTTTTTGGGTTTAGGGTTTAGGACCCTAAACTCTAGACTCGAAACCGTGAATCAGCTCGCTGCCAGGATCATGACTGTTCAATGCGTCTCGGCCGCAGTGGTAGAGAGTCAAGGTTGCCAGGGTTTGGTGTGTAAGGCTGGGGGTTTTAGGGTTTAGGGTTTCGGGGCAGTGTTGAACCCCTAAACCCCAACCCCTAAACCCTAAACCGTCCAAACCCTAAACCCTAAACCGTCCAAACTCCTTGAGGGTGTTGATTTTGTGGTGCTGGCAGTGGTGTCAGCTTGCACCCTTCACCCCCCAAGAACGGCCTCCAGCCCAGAGTCCTTCGACGCTTTAGGGGTTTAGGGGTTTGGGTGAGTTTAGGGTTTAGCAGGGAGGCTTTAGGGTCTAGGGTTTCGGTGTTGGGGTTTAGGGTTTAGGGGTTATGTGTGAGGGTTTAGGGTTTAGGGTTCAGGGGTTTGGGTTTGGGGTTTAGGGGTTATAGGGTTTAGGGTTTAAAGTTAGGGTTTAGGGGTTACGGTTTAGGGTTTAGGGGGTTCCTTCGCCCTACAGCCTTAAACCCCTTACCCCTCCTTCAAGATCCCTGTTCTTCAAACATCCCTTAGAACAAACTTGTATCGCCCTTAGGTTTTAGGGTTTAGGGTACCGTAAACCCGAAACCTTAAGCCCGAAACAGACAAGTTTCCCACACTTGTTTCATGCTTTTTCCGCCATAAACCCTAATTACCTGAGGATCCAAGAACCGAGTCTCTTTGGAGTTATACCCAGTTGTCAAGGGGCATAGCCTACTGCTCTGCCAAGGGTTGGGGTTAGAGGTAAACCCTAAACCCTAAACGACACCAAACCCCAAACCCCGAAACCCTAAACCCTGACACCCTGAGCCCTGAAACCCTAAACGGCCTTAAGCCCTGAACCCTAGAACCCCAAAGCGTCGAACCATGTCGAACCCCAAACCCTAAACCCTAAACCCTAAACCCTAAACCCTAAACCCTAAACCCTAAACCCTAAACCCTAAACCCTAAACCCTAAACCCTAAACCCTAAACCCTACCCCCTGCCTCCAAGGACGAAGGATCCAGGAAGCCCGGGTCATCTCTCTTGCACAGTGATCTCGTCGGAGCCTCAGGAATGTTTAGGGTTTAGGGTTTAGGGGAAAGCATGGTTTTCTAGTTTAGGGTTCAGGGCGTAGGGTTCAATTTAAGATTTCGGTCTTGGCTTTTTGTATCACAGTTTTGTCGGAGGTTTTGACCCTAAGCCCTAAACTCTAAACCCTAAACCCTAAACCCTAAACCCTAAACCCTAACCCTAGGAGGATCTTTTAGCGGTATGTAGCGACTGTTGTATTGGGTCTGAGGGCTTATACTTGAAGGACCATGGGACTTAGTAAGTAGGGTTATAGCTAAGGTAAAAATGCGTATACTTACTTACAACCCCCAACTAAGGGACTTATAACTTTGCTTACTAAGTCCCATGATCCTCCAAGTAGGGATTTAGATGTCAGGGTTTAGGGTTCAGCATCCGGTGAGAGGATCAGGTCTTTGAGTAATCTAGGAGCCTAAATACGTACCTTTAATATTCTGGGGGGCTCCTTGTTATAAATATAGTATAATGGGCCCCAAACCCTATTCTGCTTACTAAGGCCCCTATATTATGGCTTCTGTAGGTGCTGGGCTGTTATTTCACCTACTTTGGGGGGGCGTAGGTCCTTAGGTAGGGCTCAGGGTGACCACTGCTCTTGGGTCTCGTGTGAGAGGTGGTCTGTGGCGATCAGAAGTTGAAGCCGCATGGGCGATGCAGCACAGCCGTGCGGTTTAGGGTTTAGGGTCCGGCCACCTTGTTATGAGAGTTGCTCAATGTGTGGTGGAATAAGCATTAAAACGGCAGAACCAGGGTTTTACGTCTAAAAGTGATCATTTAAGGGCTCTAAACCCTAAACACACAAGCCTAAACCCTAAACTCCTAAACCCCAGTCAGACCCTCTGCCAAACCGCCTAAGCCCTAAACCCTACACCGTCGCGTTTTGTCAGACGGTTGCAAAGCTGGCTCAAGGCATTTTCTGCTTTGAACCCCTGGCCCGAGGCTGATCCGATCCTCGACTTCGGGGATATTTTGGGGGTTTAGGGTTTAGGGGAAAAGGGGTTTAGGGGAAAAGGGCTTTAGGGGAAAAGGGGTTTAGGGGTTTTAGGTTTGTTTTTTGTAAGATGTAATTAGGGTTCCTCACCCCATGGTCTCCTGGTTCAACTTGATCAGGCCTCCACCACCACCTGTCGATACCATCCCCGACGCTTTTCGGCTGGCACTGGAACTTTTGTGATGTAAAGTCACACGATCCGTATGCCCTCAGCCCTAAGCCCAAGTCCCGAAGCGCGAATCCTGAGCCCCGATACCCTGCAACGTAAGCCCTGAACCCCTAAACCCCTCGACCC